AGTCTACACCCGTTGGCAGAACATGGCAGTAGAAAGGGACAGATGAATTGCCCTGTGGAGAGAGTTCCAGAGCCTTGGTGCCATGATTGATAAGGCCTTCTCCTGAGTTGCCACCCACCTAATCTCAGAAGGCAGGGAACCCAAAGATGACTGTAACAATTGGGCAGGTTCATAAGGGAATGGGGTTAAAAGAAGATTGATATGGCCAGACTGATACCAAGGGAAGATCTAGCATGAAGCAGCAAAGAACACATCATATATTCTAAAGAAGTACTTGGTATCACTGAAGACAAGTGTGAATAAATGGAAACTTAATCCAGACAAGACAAGTATTGTTGGCAGGGAACATAATTTATCAAGGGCTTGGTGCTAGTTGGGTTGCAGTTCCCTTGAAGACACACTGGTTTGCCATTTGGGAATGTTTCTGCATCATTTTTAAGCAGGTGCAGCTGGCTTACCTACTATTCCCTTTCCTTGACAGGAAGGATATGACCATGGTTATTTAAGCTCTGGTGATTTACCTATTAGATTATGACAACATGCTCTTTGTAGGGCATCTAAATAGAATTATGGCTGTGACTGGCATTATGCTCATACTGGCATATTCTTAGTGCTAAGGTTGCCAACTCTGAATTGGGAACTTCCTGGAGATCTGGGTGGGGGCCTGGAAAAGGGACGGACCTAAGTGGGGTAAGCCATAGACTGAATCTACCCTCCAAAGCAGCCACTTGCTCCAAAGGAAGTGATCTCTGTAGCCTGGGGATCAGTTGCAATTCTGGCATATCTCCAGGCCCTACCTATCTCTTAGTCTTGAAGATGTCAGTGGACTTCTGTTTTGTTTTATTGTAATAGACTAATACAGCTACCCCACTGGCATTATAAAATTAGCTTTTTATTGACTGAATTGGATTCATTTTTGTAATTTCTGATGTTTGATTTGTACCCTTTGAATTTATTATATTTTTACAGTCACAAGCTATGGCAAAACCCCTAGTCATTAAACAGGTGGTGGATAAAATAAATTTTGCAAGTGAGGTCTAGCTAGCAAGGGAGATCCAGAGCACAAGCCAAATATAGCCATATATATATATATAACCCTAGAGTTTGCAGTTAAAACCCACTGAATTGTCGTAATCCTGGGAAAAGACAGTTCTCCAGAAAGACCATCATCTACTTCCATATAATGTAGCACAGGGGTCCTCAATGTGGTGCCTGCCAACATCTTTTCTGGTGCCTGCCAAGTGTTTTTAGAAAGTTGGCTGGGCCGGGTGGGGCTAGGGTTGCCAGATTAGCAACCGGTGGGGGCAGGGGGGAATTTATCAGCAAGTGGGGAAGGTCTATACCACCAGCGTCTCAGCATCATGTGGCGATGTCACTTCCAGCACACACCAGGCTTTTGCCCAGCAAGGTTTCTGACTGAACAGTGGAAATCTGATTGGCTCTGAAGGTTTTAAAATATGGTGCTTTGACAGCAGCTGCCACAACAGCACAAGGATCTTCACTGTGTGACTGAAGGTAAGCTAAAGCAGCCATTTTGTGGCTGATTCCACCTCCCGCAGAAGCCATTTTGCACCCACCATATTGTTTCAGAATCCCAAAGGTGCCTGTGGACTCAAAAAGGCTGGAGACTCCTGATGTAAAGCATCACTGACATTTGTGCATTTTCCTGTTTTGTATCTGTTGTATTTGTCCTTTAAACTGCATTGACAGGGACCCACCATCTTGTAGTTTTCTTTGCATTGTACTTTAAACAGCCTTAAGTACTCAACAAATAAATAACTCACCAACAATGTCCTTCAGTAGGTTGAGAGTGAGTAACTAACTAGGATGCGCAGAATAAAAATGAATGCACTACAGCAAATAAACCAGGTTCAGGTATTCATAACGCCAAAGACTGAACTGCCACTCTTGCATTCACAGCGCAGCAAAACACCACAGTCACCTGCTAATTAAGAAACCCACCCACTGATAAGGTGTAAAACTGTAAGCGCCGCCAACATAACCTCCTGTCAACTTGTCCACAAAAGATTCTCGATCTCTCTTGGCAAGTATGTTGAAACAGATTGTTTTCCTTGCCTTTGCCTTACCAAATGTATTACCAGCATCTGCTCTAATACAGAATAGTGTAAGAGCTCAGAGAAACCCACTCTGAAAAAGAAGACGCTACCTTTCAGGACTCCAAATGCATCACTTTCGCGCCTGCTCTCACTGCTGTCATCTCTCAGCCAATCACCGTTTTCGAATTCTTTTTCTCGTTCACAGTAGACCGAGAGCACTGGAGGAACAAAAAGCTGTTGTCCAATAGGAGCTGAAGTCTACGTCTCGCGCGCTCCGAGTGGTGTCTCGAGATGGAGGCTCGGCTCTGGTTGGCTGGAGTTGGTGTCTTTGGAAAGATGGCGGCGGCCACGGTCGGGGCTGGCTCTGTAACTGCGGATTTCTCTGATCTGCGTGGCATTAAGAAACAGCTGCTGGATGTGGCAGAACGAAGCCGAGAGCGCGGCTTGCAGCATAGTGGCAAGTGGTGAGGCTGGGTTGTGTGAAGTGATGCTCTCGCCCTTTTTCTTGGGTGCGTTTTCTTGAGCCAGTTCTAAACGGGTTGGGGCCAGTGTTCCCTCTAAGCTGAGTTAGTGTGAGCTAGCTCGCAGTTTTTTAGCCTCCGGCTCACACATTTTTGCCTTAGCTCAGGAAGGATGGCTCCAGCGCAAACTTATTTATGCAGTGGCCAAATCACTCGCTCACAACTTTAATGCCAGTAGCTCACAAAGTAGAAGTTCTGCTCACAAGACTCCACAGCTTAGAGGGAGCATTGGTTGGGGCAGTGGCGGTCAAGAATGTCAAGAGGAGTACATTATTGTGAGAGCTAAGTGCCTATTTTTAGAGGACATAGTGTGATAGTAGTCTCTAAAGCTTGAATCTTTCTTCTTCAAGGGTTTGTGTATTTGGAAGGACCACATGGCACTCTAGATCTTTTTCGTAGTATCATGAAGAGAGAGAGATGTGTTGATGCACAAGAGGTTACTATGAACCGGGGCGATAATGTAGTGGTGTAGTGGTTAAGTGCACAGACTCTAATCTGGGAGAATCCCACTCCTCCACGTGCACCTGCTGGATGACCTTGGGCAAGCCATAGTTCTGGCACAGCTGTTCTTGAAAAGAGCAGTTTCTGTCAAGAGCTCTCTCAGCCCCACCTACCTCACAGGGTGTCTGTTGTGGGGAGGGGGAGGGGAAGGGAAAAGAGTTTGTAAGCCGCTCTGAGACTCCTTTGAGTAGTGAAAGGTGGGATATAAATCCAATCTCTTCTCTTCTTTCTGTAATATAGTGGAATCTCTTGTTGCAGGGCATCAGAGTTGGCTTTTGCCTTGGACCCACTGCCGTTGAATGAACTCTCTCCCGCTCCTGTGCTTACAGAGGTAGAGATAGTCCACAACAGTTCTTTGTAACGGTCCAAAATGATTTGACACTGTCATGTTGTGCATGGAGAAACTGAAATTTAAGCTGTGATGGTTGTCAAAACAATAACATAAAATGAACTATAGGTGCCACCAAGTCATTCTGTGAAACTCAGATTATTGATTGGTGACTTGTCTAGAGAAGGGAGGAGAAGCATGAACACCTAGTGCATACTAAATTTATGTGCACATTTGTTCCTTATGTGGTCGGCCCATAGCTAACGTGGGGCCCACAGGGCCCGGCTCCCTAGCACTTCTTCTGGGCCACCTCCTTCCCGGGCTGGTCCCAAAGTGCCTCAACTCGCCACCTGCGCCGCGCTGCCTCCAACCTGGCTGACAATTGAGCTCCTTGGGCTGCTTCCCCACTGGCCTTGCTCCACTACCAGCCTCAGACATGCTCCAGCGGTAGCACCCCCAGCCGGGCCCTGATGGTCAGCAGTGTCCAGAACAGTGACTGCAGCAGTGGCAGCGATGGAGGCAGCTGCAAACCCAGCAGCAGGAAGTGCCTGGCTTGCTCCGCAGTGCAGTGGTGGTGGGCGGGCAGGAGGTCTTGCTGGGCTAGCCTGGGTGGGCGGGCTGGGGAGAGCATCCTGTTGAGAGCTCCTGGCTGGCTCTTCCTGCTCCCCCCCCCGGATCTTCCTCCCCCCCTCCCCGGCACTCCCCTCCTCGCTTAACCCCCCCCCCCCACTTGCTCTGGAACTTTTGATTAAATTAGCTGCCGCCCCCCCCCCATGGCCCCCTCCCAAAAAAGTCCCTAGCTACAGGGCTGTTATGTGGCCATAGTGATCCATGTTCTGATTGCATCTAGTTTCGATTACTGTAATAAACTCCATGTGGAACTGCCTTTGAAAACTGGGCCAGGATACTGTCCAGCTCACTAACTAATACATTCCTTACAAGACCTGCTTTCTATGCCCCCATCTTCAGAGGAGAGGTGGGTGGTGAACAGAGATAGGGCATGTTCTGTGCTTGCATCTTGCCTGTGGAATGCCCTTCCCTTTGAGGCCCACCTGGAACCTCCCCTTCTCTCTTTCAGTTGTCAGGCCAAAATATTTCTGTTTATCTAGGCTTAAGTAATATTTCTGTAGTCTTTTAGCTTGGGAGCAGTTTTAGGAGACTTAATTTAAGCTGCTTAATATTTTGTGTTGCTTTATGCGCTGGCTGGGTTTTTAATTGTTAACAACTGTTATTGTGTTTTATTATATTTTACTTTCTAACCTGCTTTGAGAAGGCATAGATACTTTCTAAAGAAATACATAATGTGTTGTCGTTTGTAGTTGTGTTGGAAACCTATAGGTGCAATCCAAAGATTAAAGATCCATTAATTTATAAATCCCTAGTAGTGTTGGAATTGAGAGTCATCCGTAAAGGGACCCTAATTTTGTGTAAGCATTTTGGTTCTTTGGTCCAATTGCCATTACTTATGTCCTTTTCCTTAGATCTGTGTGCCCTCTGAAATTTAAGTCAACAACAAGCACCAACAGCTAAATTTAATTTTCTGTTAATTATTTATGTAGAAGTTCAAACTTTGGCTGCAGTCACACACACTAAATAATCCACTTTCCAACTGGATTTTCCAGTTCACACAGTAAAAATCGAATTTCAAAGTGGATTGAAAGTGGATTATTTAGTGTGCGTGATTGCAGCCTTTGTTTTCCAGATAAGGGGGATTTACCCGTCTGATACAATTGGAGCACCCCTTAAGTTTTGATGTGAAGATGTTCTTGTAGTGAAGGTTTGAAGTCAAAGAAAACCATTTGTATCTTATTATACTGACCATTTCCTTTAAAATACAAGAGTTTTTTTCCCCCCTTTCCTTAGGAAGATGCTCGCGATTTGGATGCTTATACCCTGGCTAAGTCTTACTTTGATTTGAAAGAATATGACAGGGCTGCCTACTTTCTACGAGGCTGCAAGAGTCAGAAAGCCTATTTCCTGTATATGTACTCCAGATACTTGGTGAGCCAACAGGATGACTCAACCTGTTTTCTTTCATTTTTCTTGTTTTTATCAAGAACTCTGGTTTCTAGCTTTTTCTTTTTTTCTGTAGCAATATCTAGACAGCTAAGTTGATCTCTTCCTTTTTGTTTCTAGCAACTGGATGAGTGTCATAGACAAACCAGGGCTTTTTTGGGGGGATGGAGCTGGAACTCTCAAGAGTGAAATGAAATTTTCAGTATGTATACTGAAAACTCATGAACTTTTAAACATTTTTAAAACAATTTTGTCAAAGAGGTTCTGGAATTCCGTTCTGGCATGTCCCCCCCCCCAAAAAAAAGCCCTGAGACAAGCTATTATACCATGCTATGAAATTATCAGAGATGTGGGACAGAAATCAAAACTTTTGCTGTGCTCTATTTTTCCATGGAAAATTTCTAAAGATTCATTGTTTCATACCATTAATAGCAATGAATGGATGCTATGGCCAATGCAACATTAGGCAAGCTTGGTAGTTCCAGAGTTGTAATTAATGACTTTTTTGTCAGATTGCTGGTTGATGCATATATACGCACCACAAGGGAATTGATTGCCAAAATTAGATATGATTTACAACCATACATTTTTATGTGTTAGCATGGAAATCATGGGACAAGATCCATGATTCTAATAAGGGAAGCTTTTGGCCACACATTATAAAATTTGCAAGAATCATTCAACATCTATTTTGGCTTTTTATACCAACAATTGTTTTTGGTGTGAATATGTATCTGTCTACTAGTGACCACTGAAGAAGGCCCATTCAGCCAAAACATGTCCAATCCTGTTTATTGTGTTTGTGGTCTTATTTGTATGCCATCAACCTGTGGATATTGATTTGCATTTATTAATTACACTGAAGGTTATTCTGGTGGTTTCTATATCGAGGCTATATTCAAAGCCCAAGTTTTTAATTTATATTTTAAGTGCACTGTAAATAAATTGATTTATTTTGTTTAATTCATTTTTAACATTGTTGTTGTTCAACCTTTCTGATAGCCTAATTAAATTGTGGGGTTGGGTTGGTATTTTTTGTTGTTGTATATGGATATTGTAACTGCCAGTCTATTATGTAACTATGAGATGCCCCAGTGACCTCTATGGATAAGAGCTAAATTCTATTGAAGTAGATGAATAGATAACCACATCCATAGCATACTGTAGACAGTTCTCAGTTTTTTCTTAAATTTAAACAGTGTAAAGGAAGCATACATACTGTCTGTACATTTTTACAAGTATTATTCCAACACAAATCACATAAAGTACGAATGTGTCTGAAAATAACATTTAAACCACACTAGAAAAAAAATTTCCTAATCAAATATTTCATATGAAGAATGTGTTGCTGTTGGGACATAAAATTAACATGAGGCACTTTTAAATTTATTTACTCAATATAAATAAAAATTGACAAGCTAAATCAGATGATGCTTTATTTAGGACGCTGGATAGTTTTCCATATTTTCCAATTCTAATTTTTCTGGGAAAACTCTGCTGAAATTTCTTCCTCTTAAAATTACTTTTTTTCTGTGTGCAGTCAGGTGAAAAAAAGAAGGATGACGAAACAGTGGATAGTCTGGGTAAGGAACAAAAACAAAATTTTCATCCATGTGGTTTTGGTACAAGTCATAACTTATAGACTATGTCTCACTGTAGCATTGAGAATCTACCCTGCACTGGTATACTGGGAACTGACAAAATGCTAGGTATGGCTTTGTACCAGGTTATGTAGCACAACAGCAGACTGGAACAGGGGGGGATGAGAAACAATGCACCTGTGCCTCATTTCACAATTTTTTCAGCCATTGTAGATCCAGCTACATTGGTACAAATCTATGTACTTAATTCTTGGTGGTAAGAAACAAACCACAGTAAAATGGGCCTGTCCCTTTTGGATCAAACAAGATGTTGTCATGCTTGCAAGTTGCTTGGTGTGCTGACAGAGGTATGCACACATTTAAAATCAGAAAATAGTAATTTTGAGAAGGGTGGGGATTGGTTGGTCATGATTTATGAGTAAGGCTTCTGAGATACTTTGGTAACTGACAAAATGGGCTTAGACATGCAAACAGAAGAATATATGTCTTAGTTCAGTATTTTTAATCTAAATCTATATATTTTTATGACACTAACATAAAATTGATTAAAATAGAAGATGCTTATCCAAGGCCAATGATACTTTGTTGCTTGGGGGCCACGTGTAGTTTTTTGACATGTTGCCTGTGGCTCTTCTGATCACTGTTCTGCAATGTGGCCCCTGCTGTATGCTTCAGGGGAGTAGGCAAGAGGCCCTTGCCTAGTGGAGACTGTGGTTGGTAAGTGGGTCCAGCCTTGAAACAGCTGCTGACAGAAGAACAGGTAAGCTGCAAACCTCCCTGAAGTGCAGGCCTCATTACAGGTATGTCAATAAATGTGTCTGTTTGGGTTGATTCTAAATTCAGATGTGGCTCTCTGCAGGCTGCAGAGTGAGTACCCATGTCCTAAGCCATTATTTTACCAATGGTTTTTCCATCCTTTCTCCAAGGAGCTCAGGGCAGCATATGTGCTTCTCCCTATTATGGAGCCATTGATATAATTATAGTATAGCCTACTGTTTCAAGTGGGCAGTAAGATCTCAGGCTATGTTCTCATTTACTCTGATGGATAGGGGAAAAGGAGAAGTAGAACTTGCATACTGATTCCATCCATTTGGTCATCCAGTTGCTAGCACTGATGAAGTATTCCTGGTCCACCTATCTGCACCCAGGACTCCAGTTTGCCCATGGTACTAACTTTGGTGAATAGTGCAACAAACTTTTCATCTGTACTGTTGAACTGATTTGCTCAAAATTCTTCTTGGAGGGAATTCTGAATCAGTATCCCAAGTTGGCCCAGGAAGGGAACTCCCAAACTAGGGGGGAAACCATGAATAGGAAAGCCTGTGGCACAGTTCTTTTTTCTCAGCCTGCTTCAGACACATGCAAGGCATGTGCAGGCTAGACAAGTCAAGTCTCCAGCAGTTCCTAGGACAAACCTCAGTACACTTCCCAACAAAGTGTTACACCTTGAACTACCATTCAGGAGAGGAATGCTTAGATATTGTAGGTAGATATAGGTAGCAACTGCATTTTCATTTGTTTTACTAGTGTTCTGTAATTAGTCCACCTGCCTATAGATTGTTCTTAAATATTTGTGTTTTCTACTATGTGTGATTAGACAGTAAAATCCTTAAAACTTAAGTCCTGGTTTTGGGGATGATTTTAAGGATGATTCAGTTTGGTCATTAACCAGCTTTATTTACTTTAAAAAGAGGTTCTGAAACAGAGAACAAAGGCAGGATAAAGGGTGGGGGTGGGGAATAGCCAGGCCTCTTTGTTCATGTGAGCGCACAGGCTCATTTGAGTTTATATTCCACTTAGGGGAATGCAGGGGCTGACCAGAAGCTGTCTGGGCCAATATTGGTACTGACCGAAAATTGATCAAACTCATTAAGATCTTCTGATAGTAGCAGCAACTGACATTTGTCCTGAGGTAGAAAGTCAGAAGGACTACGTTTTTAAAAATGGGCCTTTCTCCTGGCATCCTTAGCTGGGGCCCCCAATACAGTGGGGAGAGTAAGAAGCTGAAGGGCTAGGAATGAAAGTCTGTAACACTCCTGTCTTCCATTTTGTCCTTTGAACAACTCTGTGAGATGCATCAGGCTGAGAGAGAGTGTCTGGCAAAAGGTCACCCAGTGAGTTTGAGTTTCACAGCTGAGCAGTAGGATCTGCATCCTGGTATGACACGTTCACCACTGTAGCACATTAGTCTGCTCTATACTACTGAATTCTATCATCATGTTAATATTCCTGGGGAATATTAACGCTTAGTGATAACATTTAGTGTTCTAAAGAAAATAGTTCACAAAAGAGGTTCTAGAATTTGGAGTTTGGAAAAACCACTTACATAAGGATAGCTGCTCACCATTTGTTTTTGTAAGGTTCTTTGGATCACTTCTGAGGTAAACATGACCATCATCAGGGACAGTTCTGCTGTGCTCCCAGATTATGTTATTTAAACCTGTTTGTCTGCAATACTTATATATATCTTGTGTGGAAAATTTTGAATGTCTGGATTAGGAAGACATAGGAAATAATGTCACATATAATTTTATGTATAAAATATCTTGCCTACAAGTACCAAATGGGGATGATGTGACGCATGGAAGATGGACGGACGTCATTCCGTATGGGCTAAGTGTAGAGATCAGTGAATTGAAATCTATGGCTTAGTCTGCAAAATATTGGTTTGGGTTATTGTAGCTGTTCGTTCTGACCTCAAGATCTGTACAGTATGCAACCGTGCTCTATACGTTTAGATTTTGTCAATACTATACACATTTAAATTTTGTAGGAATCGGTGAGACATAGAAGGCTGATTTCTTTCTTTACAGGTCCATTAGAGAAGGGACAAGTGAAGAATGAAGTTCTAAGAGAGTTACGAGTAGAGCTTAGCAAGAAGCACAAAGCACGAGAGTTGGATGGATTTGGCCTTTATCTGTAAGTATCAATGGTCTGCTTTGCTGTACAGTGTGGGGAGTGTTGTAAGTTGGTATCAATATATGATGGTGGGATTGTAAAAGGAGCGGAGCTTTTACTTGGTGTTTGCAAAATGTCAGATTAGAACATAGTGCTAGCATGCACACACTCTTGCCTGGTTGTGTTTCTTTTACTCTTTACACCCTACCAGGTATGGAGTGGTGTTGCGAAAGCTGGATCTAGTGAAGGAGGCCATTGATGTGTTTGTTGAAGCCACCCATGTTTTGCCGTTGCACTGGGGAGCCTGGCTGGAGCTTTGTAACTTGATCACAGACAAAGAGATGGTAATTTGTAGATTATTCAGGGTAGCGGTGGTAATGATTTCAGCTTCCCTTCCTTTGATCCAAGACCTGTTAATTGTCCTATGGTTGGTATTGTTCTTGATTGTATTCCTGGTTCAAAATCATGCAGTTTGGCTGGTAAATCTTTAGTGGGTGAATATAGCTTGGAGATGCTCATCTTCATTCTTTCTCTGGGTCTATTCCAGTTGATTGGGTGGGTGGACTTGACCCCTCCCCCGTTCTTGCTTTTCCTGCTGTCCTTGGGGGCTGCTCTGGTAATATTCTCTGTCCCTCTTCTGTTTGATGGTTATTGCCAGCTGAAGTTCCTGTCCTTGCCTGATACCTGGATGAAGGAGTTCTTCCTGGCACACATTTATACTGAGCTACAGTTGATAGAAGAGGCTTTGCAGAAGTACCAGAGTCTCATTGATGCAGGCTTTTCCAAGAGCACCTACATTATCTCCCAGATTGCAGTGGCCTATCACAATATCCGAGGTCAGTGACCCCCCCCCCTTTCAGGCTTGAGTAGCATTCTGTCTTTTTATTTTCCCCTCTGCTGTGCTTACTGTAGTGTGTGGCTTTCTTTCTTTAGATATTGATAAAGCATTGTCCATCTTCAATGAACTTAGAAAGCAAGATCCTTACAGGATAGAAAATATGGACACCTTCTCTAATCTACTCTATGTCAGGGTAAGTATAGTTGCCTTGACTACATTTTTCTGAAATGCAGCATATCTGCCTTGCCTCAGTCATAAATTAACCACAATACAGTATGGGCATAAGGATATGTTGGGCAGAAGCAGATATATTTGCCCAAGAAAATTTAGACCATAACAAAATAATGATATTGATGGAGAGAGCAGTGGAGCAGAAAGCACCAAGAAACAATCATTTGTTACATGGAGAGGTATACTAAATTGCATGGGACTAGTTTATTATGGCACTTTGAGTGTTAGATGCAATTGCCTGAAATGTTTGGTGGCTTACGGCTTCTGAACTTCCCAAGTCACTAATGCTTTGCTGTCACTTTTTGGTTTAGGCTTAAGTAATAGACAGAGCTACTTTTTCTTAAAAGTAGCTTTATGCTATAAGAGAGAGAGAACAAATTTGGAGTCCAGTGGCACCTTTAAGACCAACAAAGGTTTATTCAAGGTATGAGCTTTTGTGTGCATGCACACCTTTTCAAATATTTAGTGTGCATGCACACGAAAGCTCATACCTTGAATAAACCTTTGTTGGTCTTACAGGTGCCACTGGACTCTAAATTTGTTCTACTGCTTCTGACCAACACGGCTGACCACCTGGAACTATAAGAGTTATCTGATATTAGTTTATACTGTAGTCTCTATTTGATCTTGTGTTTCCAGAGGCTTTATCACCCAGTAGGAGCTGGCAACAACAGTTATTTCACTAGGTCTCATTTTGGTAGCTATTCCTGCAGGTTTGAAGGTTCTGCAGGTCAGTTCTGGGTCTCGGGAAGCAAAATGCTGACTTATCAGAATACTCCTTATCAAATGGCAAAGTGGAATCTGAGACCTGCAGTGCTGTTTGTCCTTCACCGCTCACGCAGGGATTTTGGAAGGGCGTGATTCCATGCCCTTGTCCTCATGCTTTCCCCCTTCCTTTGTCCTACTAGAGTATGAAGCCTGAACTGAGTTATTTGGCTCACAACCTGTGTGAGATTGACAAGTACCGTGTTGAGACCTGCTGTGTGATTGGTGAGGGACTTTTCTTCTCACTTATTTGAAGAGGGATTGGAGGAAGTTACTTGATCCTTTTTTAACATGATGGGTTAGTAGTGCTGTTGATTCCCGCTCTCACACTGTCTTTTGTTCATTGACAATTTTACCTTTGCTCTAGGGAACTACTATAGTTTGCGCTCTCAGCATGAGAAAGCAGCTCTCTACTTTCAGAGAGCATTGAAACTGAATCCTCGGTATCTTGGAGCATGGACTCTCATGGGGCATGAATACATGGAAATGAAGAACACATCAGCGGCTATTCAGGCATACAGGTGTGTACAGAGGAGTGGCAGATATTTCACTCGGCTTGTGCTGAGAGTGGGGAATGCTTTAACAAGATCCCTTTTTTTAAATTTTACCGGGGAATGCTTTAACAAGATCCCTTTTTTCATGGTTCCTCCTTTCCCAGTTCCTCCCACAGACGAATCTGCTTGTGCCCTTTTACATATTCAGGCCATTATGTATATTTAATTGTCTGTCTTCATGTGTGCCATTACACTTTCAAAGAAGTCCTCCTATGACTTCTCCTCTTCTCATAGACATGCCATTGAGGTGAACAAAAGAGACTACAGAGCATGGTATGGTCTGGGGCAAACCTATGAGATCCTCAAGATGCCATTTTACTGCCTCTATTACTATCGACGAGCCCATCAGCTCAGGTAAAACTACCTAGTATAGCTGTACTTTTCATTAGCCACATCTCATTCTTCCCATAGCTATTACTGTTGATGTGGAGTCATATTGCAACAAGGTAACAAAAGTTTTTATTTGGAACATCTGTGAACAATGTTAGTGATGTGCCTTGCTGTGGCTATCTACCAGTCATAAAATCTTGCTGTGGATTCAACAGAGACAGAAGATGTTAACTGTAATTTAAAAAAAACACTAATTCTTATTTTGTAGCAAGACTTTGGCACATAGTACAACTCCCTGCATCTTAATACTTCTTGCAGACAGTGTCCTGACTCCAATACACTAAATTTTTAGTATATGACATTTTTGTTAGCTGTCCTGAGCTTCTGGGAAGAGTGGAATAAACATATGCTCATGTTTACATTGGGGGGGAGGGTCCAAACGAAAGAGGGAGAGAGCTTGAAATCAGAATAACTTATTTGAGTAGCAAAACTTGGATTTTTTTGTCCGTGCCAAATTCTAGATCTTTTTTCTTTCTGGTACTGGGACATAGAAGAGAGAACTTGGAATATTAATGAATTTTGGGATGAGATATAAGTTAGTCTAAGATGACTTTGGACTTCTGAGTATGTTGAGTCTGTCACTTCTCTGTTCTTTGTAGACCGAATGATTCTCGTATGCTGGTTGCTCTTGGAGAATGTTATGAGAAGTTAAATCAGCTGGTAGAGGCTAAAAAGGTAAGAGGGCTCAGATTTACTGTGGAGGAGCAAGTGGGACCTTATGCCATGACCCAGATAAAGAACTGCAAGGGTCTTAATTAGAATAGAGTTTTACATACATCCAGTATTTCAGAAACTTCTGAATCGTGTCCCTCTGAGTAATCTCTCTTGAGAATAAACCGGTAAATGTAATTTTATATGGTTGGACCCAGGGGTCATTTTGTAGAAAAAGAGCTAGGGGAACTCATTAGCATAACTCATTAGCATATGCCACACCCCCTGACATCACCGGAAGTGTGTCATAAGGCCACACCCCCTGACATCACCAGAAGTGTGTCATAAGGCGACAGTGTTATTGGAGAGCGTACGCTGTAGGAGATGTGGAAAAAATGGCATTGGTGAAACTAGCAAAGTAAGTAGTGAATGGTGTTTTTACTGTTTCTAAATGTGTTGGACCTCAGGATAGTTCTCCAGTAATATCAGTGTGCATGCTGTTCCTCTGACTTTATGAATGCAGCCTCTTGGAAATGCTTTGGTGTGGCAAACACAAGCATTTATGCATTGTTTTGACAGTGTAAAGTACTATTGGCCCTATGAATGGGGCTCATATCTAACAAGCTCCATGGGCTCAATTCTGCCTTGTAACAAGCTGTAAAGTTCAGATCTGTAAAGTCCACAATGAAAGAGAGTAATAGGTAATTTCTGCTCTGATATGTGGGGATATGTGTTCATATAACTAAGGATAACCTCCCCGCCTCCTTTCAGGCTGCATGAACAGATGAATGAATCAGAACAAGCAGCTCAGTGCTATATCAAATACATCCAAGATATCTATTCTTGTGGGGTGAGTCAGATCTTACATGATTTTAGGAATGAAAGAGACAAGGATATATGGTCCATGGGAGAAATTCTGTGTGAGCCCAACCTACCTAATTATTATTTCATGGGGGTTTTACTTGTGTTAGGTTCTCAAGTCTGGTGGCACCTGAAAAGCTAACAACTTTTATTTCAATATGAACTATGACCTTTGAGAGGTCATATCTTTAAGGTGCCATTGGATTTTATTTTACTACAACAAATTAACATGCTCCCCCTTTGCAGTCCCAGTATTTAACCATTTTGCTTGTATTAGGTCAACTGAAAATAATTTAGAAAAAAAGTTTTTTATTTTAATAAAAGGTTTTATGTGCCCCCCCCCCACCATTAAATAAGCTGTTAAACTGAGTTATTGGGTTCTGGACATATTTCTAATCCTTGTTATGTGCTTGTGATACTGTTCTCATCTGAATTATGGTAAATTTGTCATAGTAGCCTCAGATTATCTGTGAGAACCTACCTTATTCTAGAGTCTGAATTCCACCTCTGGTACAGCCAAAACCTACATGCCTTTATCCTTCTCTAGGAGATAGTGGAGCACCTAGAAGTGAGCACTGCCTTCCGCTATCTGGCACAATACTACGTCAAGTGCAAACTGTGGGACGAAGCTTCAGCCTGTGCCCAGAAATGCTGCGCATTCAATGATGTGAGTTCTCACTGTGCCTTCAGCAGATGACTTTTTGGGGAAATTTTGTCCCCCTGATATGTCACCCAGTGTGATCTTTGTCACCATCTTGAGATCATGCTCGACAATACAAAGCTTCTTGTGTATGGTTAGAACAGAAATTGCATGTGTCATTAGGACTGTTTGAGAGTAGCCTCAGGAAGTAGCAACTAAGATGCTGTGGAAAATAATATGAAAAGGACCTACCTGGTATGCCCCCTTAACCCAGGATACCATTTTGAGAAACTCTGGGTTCACATTTTAAAATTCCTTCAGAAACTATCACTGTAGTTGCTGCTTGCTACTATTCTAAACCAAAAACTTGTATTTACTACTGAAGTATATAGTGCAACAGACCATTCAAACATGAGTCCATGTGGTTTAAATCTCTAAAGTTTTAAAGGTAAAGGTTTCCCTTGCTTGAAAGCTAGTCGAATCCAACTCTACAGGGCAGTGCTCATCTCCATTTCCAAGATGAAGAGCCAACGCTGTCCGAAGATGTTTCCGTGGTCATGTGGCTAGCATGACTACATTCCGAGGGACATGGAATGCTGTTACCTTCCCACCGAAGCGGTACCTATTTATCTACTTGCAATTTCTTGCTTTTGAACTGCTAGGTTGGCAGGAGCTGGGGCTAGAGACGGGAGCTCACTCCGTCATGTGTCACTAGGGTCTCGAACTGCTGACCTACAGACCTTCAAGTCTAGCATTAGTAAATCAAAATTGCTTAGCATTCAAACATAAACAGTCTTTCTAAATCTGACTAACTGCCTCCCCCCTCCGCAACTTCCTTTGCCTCAGAGTGATATAAAGAGGCAAAGCACATATAGATCTAGTTGTTTGATTTCTACTAGTCCTTTCTAGAGCACTTAAAGGTATTCTAAATTGCATCAGCCCCATGTTTGCTAGACCACATCCAGTAAAGCATCTTCCGCTGGTCACATGTTCTTTATGCAAGCATCCTTAGAATAAACACAAGAGAAAGAGAGAATGGGACTGCCTCTTTTAAAAGTTTGAAAACCCTTCAGCATCCATAAAAGGTACTCACCTACCAAACTTAGTGACATGGAACAATCAATATTGTATAATATGACAAGAGACACAACTTCTGAAAAGCCACTCAGGGAAGATTATTAAGTTCCTCATACAAAGGAAGGCTGGGTTGGTTAAGCCAGTTTGGTGTAGTGGTTAAGTGGATGACCTTGGGCAAGCCGTAGTTCTGATAAGAGCTGTTCTTGAAAAAGAGCAGTTTCTGTCAGAGCTCTCTCAGCCCCACCTACCTCACAGGGTGTCTGCTGTGGGGAGGGGAAGGGGAAGGAGATTGTAAGTCGCTCTGAGACTCCTTTGGGTAGTGAAGGGTGGGGTATAAATCCAATCTCTTCTCTTCTTCTTAACTGCAGAGTAAAACACAAGGGATGTCTAAAGTACAAGCTATTCCTGATCAGGGAAGAAGTTGTGACAGGCTCCTCTATTGTTGCGAGTGACAGATACAGAATATCCATAAAACAGTAGTGTTGATGGCTTCTCAACAATCAGAAGAGGAAAAAACCTATATAAAAAAAATCTTTATATTCCCATTCATACTACAAAATAGAGTTTGGAAGTTTTTAAAGGGAAACCAGAATGTCAAGCAATGGTCTGTATGGCCATGCATCCCTGCTATCAGTGCAGATCTGTGACTTTCACCGGGGTGGCTCACAGTGCCATCCTAAGCAGTTACACCCTTCTAAATCCATGGACTTTAGTGGTGTTAGAAGGATGTGACTCTGCTTAGAATGGCACTGTCAGATACACACCCATCTAATATTTCTTGAAACAGGAGCTCAGTTTTTTAAAACTGTCCCTACTTTGTGGTTCCTTTCTTATTTAGAGAAAGGAGTTCCTTAATTTAGTGGGTTCTTAGACTCTGTGATATATAGACAAATGCATGCATTTGTTCAATATTTACCAATTAAACAATGAGTTAAAAGAAGAAAAGGATGTATGAGCAGGAGATAAAGCAGCTGTCTGGAACACGGTTATGAACTGTCTTGGGGGGTCTTCCACACAGGGACTGTGTGTTTTATCTGTTGCTGGTGCGAACTGCAGATAAAGTGCTGTAGCAATGGGGCTTCCGCATGGTAGGCTTACCTGCAGTTTACCTGCCCCAGTCCCCCAGGAGCAGCCATCCACCTTGCATGGGCCATCAGGGCTTTGCAATTTTCCTTTAAAAAAATCACCACTAGAATATAGTTGTATCAATATACCATAACTATAGGTGCAGCAGGTCCTCTGAATCCCCACATTTCATTAAAAGCGAAAGTATCTTCAGTTGAAAAAATGCACCTTTTCCTTGTATCTCTGCAAGGAAAAGGGCTAAGGACTTTTTTAAATGAACGCTGAAAATTCAGAGAATATGCTATACTATTTTTATGATGGTATACCTATATAATAAAAGGTAAAGGTTCCCTTGCTCGAAAGCCAGTTGAATCTGACTCTAGGGTTGCGGTGCTCATCTCCGTTTCAAAGCCGAAGAGCCAGTGCTGTCCGAAGACATTTCCGTGGTCATGTGGCCGGCATGACTAAACACCAAGGCGCACCAAGGAGAGCAAAAAGGCTGCTGTGTAGGCTGGAATGTATGCATTTTCCCATCTACACAGCCAGCTCTCCAGGATTCATTGTGACCTTTCCCAAAAACTTTGGATCAAAGCAGGTTTGGAAAGATCAAAGAAAATCCAGGAAAACCCTGGAGGTGCACAAATGTACCACAATGCTGTGGGGAAGCCGCAAACCCCCCCACTCCCCCAAAGCATTGAACTCAGATGAGATAACCTGTGTGGAAGCTATCTTAAGAAATCATCCCTTTGATTGTCAGAGTGGTAATATATGAGGAAGTCAATGTGAAGTGTTCTCCATACCATGTCTGGAAAGTTTAGAAAAGTTCAGCATCCAGAATGCTGAATCCAATGCAAAATCCAAAATACCAACTGTTACACAGCACAGTTATATTTCTACAGATCTTTCATAATGATATTCTTAAAAGCTGAGTGTTGCATTTCAACTTGGATAGGAAACTAACATCAGGATACAATGTATTAACCATCAGAATTCACCTAGACAAGCTAGTTTATGAGCAATGTAGAGTCTTTTGACCATGTAAACACTAACCCGCACATTATGGCATGGCCTTTTGTGAACCAGAGTCTGCTTTGTCAGATTCTTGATTACATTAAATTCTCTCTCATATCAGCCTTCTTTCCGGCTAAGATCACCATCTGAGTCAATATATGTTCCCTCTCGTGATGTAAAATGTATGGTGAACAGGAGAGGCCCTTCTCTGTGGTGGCACCTCAGCTATGACATATCTCTCCACAGCTGTCTGAAGTTTCAGGTGTCAGATGAAAATGGGGATGTTTGCATAGGCATGTTGTTAATTGATTCTGTCATTTGTGTTTTATCTGGACCAGTGATGGCGAACCTTTTAGAGACCGAGTGCCCAAACTGCGACCCAAAATCCACTTATTTATTGCAAAGTGCCAGCATGGCAATTTAACCTGAATACTGAGGTTCTACTTTAGAAAAAACAACCCATACATTAACTTAAGATGATCCAAACAAAGTAAGGAAAGCAATCCCAAATGCTTTCATTTACTTAAAATTATTTGGCAGAGAATGCGACACTTGAATGATGGTCTGGGCCTGGCTTGGGCGATGGCACACATGCCCACAGAAAGGGCTCTGAGTGCCACCTCTGGCACCCGTGCCATAGGTTCGCCACCACTGATCTAGACGGTCTTGCTGAGATAGTTTTATTGTGTATTTTAACTGCCTGTTGATTTGGGGATGGGTCCACTGAAAGAGCTCAGAATGTGTTGATGAAGTAGATTTCCCCTGCCTTTCCCTTTCTCTCAAATAGCCTGTCATTTGTCACAACTTCTCTGAGGATCATATGATATTGCAAGCAAAATGTGCTGCAAGGTGTGAACTAAAGAGGGAAAAAGAAGCAATTTTACTTAGTTTTTCCCCGTCTCCCATTACTACAGCACCTCATCCTTGGTTCATTTTGTTAGTAAGATTCTCCCGATTCTCAGAGAAGAGTTTCAGGACTATTTATTTATTCTCTGCTTTTCTGCATAATGGGGACCAAACTGGCTTACAATGTTTTTTCCCCCCTCATCCATTTTATTCTTGCAAAAAATTCTGTGAGGTTAAGCTGAGAAACAGATTGGCCCAAGGTCACTCAGCAAGCTTCCATGGCAGAGTGGGAATTCGAATCTGGGTTTTTTAGTTCCTAGTTCAACACTCTAATTACTATGCACCTTATACTGAATTAGACCATCAGTCCATCAGGGTCAGTATTGTCTACTCTGAAAGGCAGCTCTCCATTAGAAGTCTTTCACATCCCCTGCTCCCTGGTCCTTTTAACTGGAGATGCTGGGGACTGAACCTGGGACCATCTGCATACCAAGCAGAGGTTCTACCACTGAGATACGGCTCCTTCCCCCTACACCATGTTTGAGGAACTCTGTCCATGAATTTTTACCACCTTTATGCTCTTGTGCTATTTTTATCCTGCTGTCTTACCAGTTGTTCTGATTTGATAACTTTATGTTGTAAGCTGCTTCAGGCAACTTTTTTGCAGAGAAGAGGTTAAGAAATACAGAAAGGACAGTAATGTAAGTCTAAATTATTGTCTCTGTATTGGAGTCCTGGAAAATATGTATTTGCTTGTTTATACATTTACAACAATCCTACTAATCCCTAATGACCAAGGTGACTTGCAGTGTATTACCAGTAAGATATAAGATAGCGAACATCATTTAAAACCAACAAAAAAGGTTTGTACCATAGGCAACAGAGCTGGTATTGCTCAGGAAAAGTTCATGTAACCTGTGTTGTGATATTAGTTTTACCCTTTTGTAAACTAGCTTTCTTTCTCCTCTAGACAAGAGAAGAAGGGAAAGCTCTCTTGCGGCAAATCTTACAGCTACGCAACCAAGGGGAGACGTCATCCACAGAGATTGCCACGCCCTTTTTCCTTCCTTCTTCGCTGTCTGCCAACAACACTCCCACACGCCGTGTGTCGCCACTAAACTTGTCTAACATTACCCCATAAACAGTGCCTGCCTCTGTGAGCTGGGCAATCCAGCTGGAAACTGGATTTCACTTCGACACCATCTCTTTAGGGAAGGCTCTCCGTTGAGTGCTGTCTTCCTTAGCGGGCTGAAAGCGGATATTGTCGGGATATCCGTGGCATAGATTGATCCTCTGTATGGAGTGAGCTGCTTTTCATCAACCATCTTCTTATTTAGTGGGATACTTCAGTGTAAGAGACTGCTCTCTCTATACTGAAATTTGGTTGGAATTGCTGCTCCGCCTATGTTGTTTTCATTATATCCCTTTTCAAGGTATCATAACCCCACGAGTAAACAGCCTCTTCAGCATAAACATACTGGTTCTTATTGGAAGAGTAAGTCGTGCCTTTCAGTAAATGAGACAGAAGGAATCAGTCCTTACACCTCTAGGGCCTCATCCACTTGCTGGGTGCTTCTCCGCTCTGGAGCAGAGTAGCTGCCTTAGGCTACCTGCGAGTGAAAAGAACCCATGCAAATAGGAGTGGGAGGAGAGGGAGGCTCATAGCACAGCGCAGTTTCTGTAGATAACAAAAGCATTTGGAGCAAATGCGTATGGGCATGAATGGGGAAGAAAAAGCTAGCAATTGCGTGGGAATTAGGCCCATGCTGATGCTGCTGTGCAGCCTGATGTGATAATGCAAGTAAAGGATGACCCATCAAGCTGCTACTGCAATGTTGTCATTGTTTTTTCCTTATACACTGGCTGTAAGAAGGTCAGTTGCTTCTTGGGAGGCAAATCTTGGCAGCCTTTTTGTCTGTCAGGAACAAAACAGGAGCATTCCTTCAGAGTAGCCAGGAGCTGATGTGTTTTAGAGCAGTGCTGTACTAGGATGTGCACTTCAGCTGCTGAATATGATTTTGCAAACTGAAATAATGGTTGTGATCGATCCTTGCTGCCACTGAGTAACTGAATAATTTAGTAAAACAACGATGGTTCAGCTTTTCTGCAACAACAAGAAAAGAATTCAGGGATACAGAACAAGGACTTGGTCTGTGTGTGTGTGTTAATGGCTGACTTCCTGGTAGGATTCAAGCAACCTTATTTGTTTCTTCCTCCATTACATTTTTATCAGTGTTTCTTTGTCCTTTTTCTGTGAAACAAATGTGGTTTCTTTGTGTACAGCTGTCATGGCTCAGATGGGGTGTCACCTGATGCTGCCACCACTCTGGTTCCAGGCTCCTTGAAGAAGGCCCAGAGCACCCTCCCAAGCCTTTAGATTTCCCTTTTAGCCAAAATGAGCGTGAGGACCAGGCAGAGTGAACAATGAAAACGGTTTATTTTATAGGAGGTCAAACAAACAAGGTGCAGGACTAATAACAGTAAGTGGGTGAAAAGAAATCAAATGCCCTAACGCGTCTAAATATACTGTCCCTAGCTCACTATCTCAAGTGGCCTTAGACTACTCATCCTTCCCTTAAGATGAGGGTGTCTTCCCCACAGCAGCCTTCCTTCTGGCCCTGTTCCCTGGGAAGAAGAACAGCTTCTCCTCTTGCACCAGTTCTTTTATTCCCCAGCCCTCTTCTTCCCTGTTGGCCAAAATCGGTGCCAAAACGTCCCAAGGCCTTCTGGAGTTTGTAGGCCCAGCCTCCCCTACTGCTAGCCAGGCTCCCTGGGCCTACTAGGCCTTGCTTGCACAGCCCAGATAATGACAACAACAGAGAGGGAGAGTTTACAGTAGTTTCTCTTATTTTATTGATGCATTTTATCATTCCATCTAACCTGTGAGCAAGGGACCTAATGGTGGTTGGGTGAGGTTCTTAACCACATTTTCTACTAGCTAGCTGTATAGGAAAAAAACACAACAAGGTAACCTATAATGGTTAGATTAATCAGAACTGTTAATAAAAAAGGAACACAATACTTTAAACAATTTTTAGGGCACTCTAAGCTGCTTTGTGTTTAATGGAGTCCCACTATCCACCAACCAGACATAACATGGCAGTTCATGGGGCAGACCTAGACACAAGACTGGGAGGCAGGGGTGCTGTCAGGGAAGTATCCTTTTATTTCAGATCTTCACAAAAAATTGTTTGCAACTTAACCTTTCTTCTTCTCCCCCCCCCCCCCCCCCTCTTTTCATGGTACAAGTAGAATTAAGGGACAAATTGCATCTTAGGACATGTTCAGGCCTGCGAAGGTAAAAATTGCAGTTGAAGAAAAGAATTATAGACCATCAAGTTGTGGCAGCATTTAAAAAACAAAACTACCCTAGCATTTAAGGACAGAGTAGCATTTTAAACCGTAGGAATGGGGCTATAGCTCTCCCAGTAGGAAGGCTGCACCTGGAAGGTGACCCAGAGATTCTTCCCTGAATGCCTGGAGCTTAACAGAGGCCATCACATAACACTGAACACTTACACTTGTAGCTTCACAACAGACCAAGTTAACAGCTGCTCCTGTATCCCCTGGCTCCTTCTGGCTGCTGAAAAGGGTGCCAGGCAGGTGCAGGAGCTCCTCCTCCCTCTGTGCTCCTTATACAGGAGTTGCCACTGGAACTTGGCAGCTGTAGGATGGCTGTCAGTGTCCATGGTAAAAAGTAACATCTAGCTTAGCTTAGCTTAGTTCTTAGCATTCAGTTTTCAAGAGCATAAGCAGAGTTAAAGAGACACAACCATATATAACTTTGTTGATAGATTAGGGAATCAACTATGTAAGAACGGCAGTTTTTTGCTTATGAGCCCATTCTTTGCTTTTTCACATCAGTAAGAAAGCCGAATTAACAGCCTAATTTTATGTGTATTAATTCTTAGATTTGTCACTGACTTCAGTAGGATTTACTCTGAACTAGTTATGCATAAATGATTGCAGTTTTAGTTATACACACCAAAGTGCAGGCACTATGATGCTTTCTAGCAATAGTGTTGGTAATGGTGCCACACTTTACAATAATCTTTACTCTGATGAAGGTCACTAAGACATTACAGGTGATTTGAAAATGTAACAAACCTCTCTTCTTTGGCCAAACCAGTAGCGGATTAACTTGGCTGCAAAGATGTGATGGGGAAGCTGTGACAAGGAAACAGCAAAACAGAATCACAAGTATTTGGGAATACAGATAAGATTTAATGGAGAAGGGTAGGAACTAGAGGCAGCAGAGATCCCATGACCTGCAATGTTTCTCGGATGAAAAATTATGTGTAAGTACCTATGGGCAGACAAACCTGAAGACGGGAAACTGAAGCTCAGAGTAAACAAGTGGGGGTTGGGGAGGCCAGGTATAGGCAGCTGAGCATCTTCTCCTCCACATCTCTAGGCAAGCACGAGAGACTTCCTGTGGCACCCCCAAAAATCAGTGAACCAACTAATATGACAAAAACTGGAAAGGCAGATCAAATTTAAACTCTTTTTAGGGCCCACAAATTGACTCTCCAGCAGAGCTTCCCGTGGGCAGCCAAGCTTCCTTTCCTAAGTAGTCATAACTGGACATGCTCTAGGGAAATGAGCATAAGCAGCTCTTAGCATCACATGTTTGAAACCAGCATTGGTTTGTCATCATATTTGTAACCACAGTATGGAAATATTTGGCAGTACAAGCAGCTTTATTTAAATAAATAAACCATGAATTAGTAATAAGACACAAGTGAGGACCCACAAGGAACGTGCAGGGAGGGGGCCATGCCACTCCTATTGGCTTTCCTTCCTCCTCCCCCACCCCTTCTCTGTCACTCATGCCCCCCTTGCTTTCTGTCACCTCCCATCTGCACCCTCATCATCTCCTTCCACTTTCTAACCCAGACTCAGACCAAACATTTATCGTCTCTGCTGCTCTGAAGGGAATGAAGACAGCAGTGGTGGCTTTGGCTTCCCCTTCCCCTCCTTGCCTCCAGCCAGCAGAGGAGTGTTGTTTGCCAGGAACTTGCGGTGGGGGGTGGGAGGATTCTTTGTTGCTTTGACAGGAGTGGTTGAAGGTGGCAGCAGCAGTTCCACTTGCTTGAGCTTTGCAGTGGGGCAGCTGCAGTGGGTTCTGCCACGGCTGGGTCGTTGTCACCTGAGGGGGAGTGAGCTACAATGCCTGCTTCCCCCCCCCCCTTGGTGTGAGCTGAGGCTCTTCTTCCCCACCTACCTAAAACTTGGCCAAGGGGGAGTGGAAACAACAGTAGCTGCTGGCAGTCTCATCTTCCTCATCTGTGGCAGACTGGCAGTGTATAATCATCTCTTCCTCTCATGCACCTGCCTGCATCCAGGGAACATTTCTTGGTTGTTTTGTACACCAGTTTGGTGTAGTGGTTAAGAGCATCAGACTCTATTCTGGAGAACTGTGTTTGCACCCCCACATGCAGCCAGCTGGGTGACCTTGGGTCAGTCACAGTTCTCAGAGCTCAGCCCCACCTACCTCACAGGGTGTCAGTTGTGGGGAGAGGAAGGGGTTTGTAAGCTGCTCTGAGACTCTGAGTGAAGGGCAATGTATACATCCAACTCTTCTTCCGCCCTTTCAGTACCTTTAGGATTTTTCTGCAAGCCTGGCAATTCACCCAAATTTGGAGAATAGTCTATGTTCTGTCAACATGACCCTGATGTGTGGATCTAGGTATCCGGATAGGATCCACATTAGATACACAGATATATCCCCTGACTGGATGGCCTAGGCTAGCTGATCTCATGCTATGCAGGGTCAGCCCTGGTTACAATTTAGATGGGAAGGCCACCAAGGTAGTCCAGGGTTGCTACGCACAGGCAGGAAATGGCACAACACCTTTGAATGTTTCTTGCCTTGAAAACCCTACAGGATCACCATAACTCAGCTGCAACTTGATGGCACTTTCCACCTCCACGATATATTCCCCACATTCCTATAAATTTGGTCCGGATGCAAAGTATTGTGCACCGGAATCAATATCAGGAATATTAAGTAAATGTGGTATTTGATTTTAAACCTGCCAACACAAGGCTGCTCTGTCTCATGCATGGTTACAACTAGTTTGTTACACAGAGAAGGAGTAATAGGGCTATAAGAATAGTTCAAGTATATTTATAAAAGGACAGCAGCTGTAGATTATGCCACTGCACAGGACCTAACAGTTTTGCTTCATATATTAGTCTGTTGTCACGTCATTGTTTTCTACAGATGTAATACTATTTTTCTTCATTATGCCACATTCTATATCATGCTTACTAATACTATGCTCATTCCGATGTTAGTAGTCCTATTCCTGGTCCTTTGTTCATTAGATGTCTCCTCATCCTAATTAGATCAACCTGCACTGTGCTTATTAGAAGATTTTTCATATAGAATATTACCAAATTACACTGTATAATCTGCTTTGAATCTTAGTCAAAAAGGTAGACTGTAAAAAATAATGCAAAACACATTTATTACATGCATTGAACAAGGCAATGAATATACAGTTAGCATGCAGAAACACTTATATATATTTTTAAAAAAGATTTTAAAGTCCAGATTCCACATACACTGGGGTAGCAGCTGGCCTGAAATAGACATGCATAGTATTCATCTTTGGGAAGCCAAGGACTTGTTTGTTTGCTCAGGCCTTAACATATGAATAAACACATTTATATACAGAATATGTAGAGCCAGCAACCAGTTGCTAGTACTCAAGTCAGACCACAGGACCAAAACATTCATTCAGTATTTTTTGCCAAAGGCCAATGTCTTAAAAGGGGGAGACCTGCGAGAGCGCAGGATACGAGTGTAGGGGCTCTCTGCCATAGCAGGCTTGGCTACTGAGCGAGACAGGAAGTGGGACAAGAAAGGCTTCTTGATGGGAGGTTGAGTTTTGGGCTGCATGTTTTCACTGTTGGCACAGAACCGTTTCTTCAAGGTTGGGGTTGGTGCCACTTGGAGTTTCTGCACAGTATGGTACTGCTCAGCAATGCAGGCTGCCTTCTTCCGCAGATCCAGCTTCACTAGTGTCATATTGTTTTGAAGCTCAGCCAGAGTCTGATCCTGGAAGGAAAAAAATACAATTGATGTCATTATGGATATAATTACAAGTGACAGAGTACAGGTCAGAGAGAAATAGTCCCGTAGCAATAGCACCTTAAAGACTAAATATACTAGTTCCCTCTAAGCTGAGTCAGTGTGAGCTAGCTCACAGTTTTTTAGCCTCCAGCTCACACATTTTTGTCTCAGCTCAGGAAGGACGGCTCCAGAGCAAACTAATTTATGCAGAAGCCGAATCGCCCGCTCCCAGCTTTAATGCCGGTAGCTCACAAAGCAGAAGTTTTGCTCACAAGACTCCACAGCTTAGAGGGAACATTGGTTGTGGCATGAGGTTCCATAGGCAGAGAACGATTTCATCAGGTGCAAGTCAGAATACATGATCAGTAACTGAGCTGGACTGTACGACTTTGCGGTGGGGGCAGGGGAGACAGAATCGAATGTTCTTCCCATAAGCTCTGTGTACTAGAAAGAATAGTGTTTGAAACAAGGTTCTAGCTCAGCCACCTCCCCAGTATGCTAACTAGAATGTCCAGGGAGTTGATGCAAGAGAAACAGGCATTCAGTCATCTCTCATGAGGCATCTGAAGTGATGAAGTCCAGCAACAGATACCATGATTTGGATCCAACTGAGTGTTTCCATGGGCAGACAGATTGTAGCCCACAGGGTGCAACGTTCTCACTTGCCTCCTCCTTGCTGATACCTACATGCCTCCTGAAATGCAACTCCTGGGGGACATTTACAAGAACAAGACTTCAGATGTTTTGGACCACAAAGAGAGGCCATTATGTCATACTTGGTGGGCAGAAATCCTTTTGCTCCCGGAAACACCCTGATGGATCCATCCCCCTGGGCTGAGGGTGCTGGCTGGTACTGAGTCTAGTACAGCCATTCAACAAACTAAACTTTACTTCAAAATTAACAAAAAAGTGCCTCAGTGCTGGCTACAAAATGGTAGAAATTGTTCTGTTCCTTCATGCTGAAGAGCCTCTATTGCTCATGGTCAGCAGCTTATTCAAGTATCGTCAGTCTTCCTCCGGAGTATTGCTTATAGCAGTGGCCCCCAACCTTTTTGAGTACACAGTGATGGGTGGAGCCACAAAATGGCTGCTACAGGAAGCACCGCCAACCACAAAACATCACGGAGTCGGGTTATGCATAAGTAATAGTAATGCTTTAACATTTCAGGTAGAAGATCTGTTCAACACTGGGTTTTTTCTTGAGACTCACAGTGAAAGTCCTTGTGCTGTGGTGGCAGCTGCCGCCAAAGCAACGTTTTCAAAGATCTGTACAGCCAATCAAATCTCCAGTGGCCAATCAGATGCCATGCTGGAGAAAATGCTTTCACCATTAAGTGCCAGACTTCTGTCTGCATTCACAAGATACTTTTAAAGCATGATACCCAAAATGCCTCTTTAATTGCATGGCTTACTCAAAATTGCTTCCTTTACCTGTTTGACCAGGATGTCATCGCACATATACAGGGTCTCGCGGAGTTTCCCAGCACTTGTGCTGTGACAACAAGCTCTTTCTGCTGACTGAAGTGACTCCCCAAGTTTCTGCAGCTCACAACGCAGCATCCTCACATTCTGAAGAAGGGAGAATGTAGCCCAAAGTCACACTGATTTCCTTCATGCCCCCACCCCCTGGGAAACTGAACGATAGCAGAAAAACCTAGTTGGAAATAGCAAGAATGAAGTGCAACCAACAGCAGTAGATGAGGTGTTGGGACAGCCGCCCTGCACATTACGGGGAGCTGTACATTGTAAAGAGAAATATTGGAGGTGGGGGGGAAGCACCCAGGCTCCATGTACTCAAGAGATGCAGTTACCTTTTGACCTTCTTGCAGCTTCCGGTCCACATCCACAGTGATGGCCTTTGCTGAAGGTGGTGGCTCCACCATCTTTTGGTATTTGCGTAGCTCTAAAGGTAGGGCAGAATATAGTCACAGCTTAACTCAGCAGCTAAAATCTATGCCAGAGCTCAGCCTCAAAGTTTTGTTTCTATACTGAATCATGGAATATGGAGTCACAATAAAGGAACAGGACACAAAATATGTGAAGTGCCTTTCCTTTAACTGACCGCAGCCTATTAATACACACATACCCAAGTTGACATCAAGAAGGCAGGCTTGTGCCCTGGCATTTTTTTTTCCCTTTAAGAAGGCAGTTGAGAACTGATTTAGCTTCTTTTATACTACAAAGTGAAGACCTATAGCTGTAATACCATTTAAGTTTCTCACCAGAAGTCACAGACAACAAGAGCAAAGTAGTCACTACATAGTAATGGGAACTGGTAAGAATTTAGGAGACTCCTGGTCTCTGTCTACCACATTTTGTTTTCTGCCACCTGTCAAGCTATTCCCAACTCCTATTGCAATAATGGGGGGTAAGCAGTTTTGTAAACAAAGCCCTTCTATGGAAATTTGATCCTTCCCCCATCATGCCTGTCTAAATCCTTCAAGATGGTAATGGAAGGGGGAGAGGAAAGAAAGATCCACAGGCAGGAAGTGAATGGTAAGTTATCCTACTCCAGCAGCACAAGGAATGCCAAGGGGGTCCAGGGCTCCTGTTGGGCAAAAAAGGTAACTGGGTAGCTAACCTTGTTCCAGCACTGATGGGCATGTCACCGACAGAACCCAGGTTTTCTAGTTACTAGAGCAGCAAGTTCTTTGTGGCTCATACTGCACAGATTGCTCTCTTGCTAAAGTTCTACTTGGTGGTTTTCGGATTCATTCCTCACCTTCTTTGGCTGTGCTCAGCTCAGCCTGACACTGTTCTAGCTTGGCTTTTGTCTCCTGCAGGGCAGATGTTGCAGCCAGTGCCACTCGTTTGGATCTGCGCTGTCCCTCCTCTGGCTCTTGTGGCTTTCCCACCTGGAGTTCTTGTTGCCGTTTTGCTTCTTGCAAGGAGGCTTCCAGCTCTTGTATCTTTTCATCCTGGTTCTGAAGAGGAAAAACAGAAAACTGACATTAGAGAAGAGGAAGCTGTATTTGTATTGCGGCCTGTCCGCTTTGAAATGGCCAAGCGCAGACAGCCATGTACAATCTGAGGCACAGAACCCAGGAAACCTCTGCAAGACCGACAAGTCTGCAATAATCAAAATAAATGGAGGTGGGTATAGCCTTCAGAGTAGTTTGAAAGGTGTACCCTGACCCTAGAAAAGGACTCTCACAGGCCTCATTCCCACAGTATTTCATCCTCTCTCTCACATACCTCTATCTTCTCTTGATAGTAATCAGCCAGCATCTCCTTTAGATGGTTGAGCTTAAAGTCATACATCTCCTCCAGAATCTCCTTTTGGGCGTCCACCTGCTCACTTCAGGAAACAAGAGTGGGGGTTTGAAAAGCAGCAGCCGCGTGAATCAGGAAGCAGAAGTTCAACACAGAGGCTGCTTGGGATGGAAAGATGCTGGAAGCCATCATACCTGATTGACTGTTCCCTCTGTTGCTGATGCTCCATCATCTCGTTGCAAATCTCCTCACGCAGATGCATTTCCAGTTTCAGCTTCTCCTGGCGCTCCTTCAGCAGCAGATTTTTCAGAGCCTCAACCACGAGCAACAGGTCCTGGGGGTGGGGACAGAATGCAGAGCATGTGACAATCATGGCTGATCAGAACCACCAATGTTACAAAATGCCAGAGACTCCACCGTTTGAACAATTAGTTTTGAAGGCTCTAAAACCGTTCTCAAGGACTTGAAATGCCTGGCTTGACATAAGAATCTTCACATACTTTCCTGGGTGAGACACAGAACAAGCTCAGACTAAGCCTAGTGGTCTGTCCCTTGCTCAGTTCTCTGGGCCTGGACACACGCACTGGTCTGGGTAAGCAAGAAGAGTCGTAGACGCTCCCGATCCAGTGCCTGCCACCCACAAACTCCTCATGGTGTAGGGTACCTGTGGCTACAGAAGGCTAGTTTAGTGAACAAGGTACAAACCACCACTCACCTCTTTGTCATACATGGTCACATCTGTTTCATCCTCACTCTCGTCACTGAGTTCCATTTCTTGATCCAAGGCTGCTCCAGAGGCCCTGTTTGTTCTAATGCTCTGTTCCTTCAGAAGAGACTGAATGGCCAGCAGTCCCACCTTCGAAGGAGCTTGTATAAGCTGGAAAGCAAGTTTTGGTGTTAGCAGGCAAGAACACACAGTCTACCCATTCCTGTCCAAAGCAACAGAATTGACATGCTTTGCTGGCACTTTAAACTGAGTGTTTCTGAACATGAGCAAATTGCCTTTATACCCAAGCAGAAAATGTTTTTCAATGGGCTTCTGAGTATTTTCAGAGTGCTTCTCTTTAAAAGAAGCAGACCAAAGTGATGACCAGTGTTCCCTCTAAGCTGAGTTAGTGTGAGTTAGCTCACAGTTTTTTAGCCTCCAGCTCACACATTTTTGTCTTAGCTCAGGAAGGAGGGCTCCAGAGCAAACTAATTTATGCAGGAGCCAAATTGCTCGCTCACAACTTTAATGCCAGTAGCTCACAAAGGAGAATTTTTGCTCACAGCTTAGAGGGAACATTGGTGATGACAGTGTGGCTTTCAGCATGCACAGAGTATCTCCTCTGAGTGCCACCATTTTTTTTTCTTTTTTACAGTCTCATTATTTTAGAAAATAGGAAATTAATGAACAAAAGGACAGAGAGGGCGAGAAATAGGTAACTTCCTTTTTAAGAGGAAGTAGTATCTCCTCTGAGTGCCACCATTTTTTCTTTCTTTTTTACAGTCTCATTATTTTAGGAAATAGGAAATTAATGAATAAAAGGACAGAGAGGGAGAGAAATAGGTAATGTGTTAAAAGGAGGAAGTTAACAGTTACTCTAAATCTTTGCAACCTTGCAACTAGTCATCCTCTGCTCCAGTGCTTCTGGTCTCACCTGGCTGGCAATTGCAGAGAACTTAGCCACATGGAGAGTCTCATCATAGGAGGAGGCACAGGGATTCATATTGACAATCATGCAGGACTGCCCTCGCCCTGTGAAGAAGCCTTGGAACACACGGGTTAGCTTGCTGTCACGGAAGGGCACAACACTCTGCTTCACTCTGAGAACAGAAGATTCAGGGAGCTCCAGAGACAGATCGCACCAACACTACCTTCCCCCCCTCCCCTCGCAAAACCCTACAAGCCTCAGAGCACCCGCACAAAGCCAGTAATATGTCACACAAACAATACCAGAGTCAGTACAGAAAAACGTTCTTTTCCTTGCATTGATCGGGGCTAGACAGACAGACGCTGAGAGCTAGGAAGGCCCCCCCCCCCCCGCTTACTTGGCCTGCTGGTTCTGGCGCAGTACAGTGAGGCAACGCCCCAGTGTGTGCAAAGAAGTGTTGATATTATTTGCCTCCTTCATGCGATCCCCAGTCCTCTGCTCTTTGCAGCGTTCAGAGCCAGCGAGGTCACACAGCGACAGCCTGGAGAGGGAAGGCAGCATCCGCACTGAGGTCAAGGATCACCAGCCCCTATCGGTCCTGCCTTCCCCTTTCTCAATTAGGCTTTCCTTCAGGTTGGAAATCCTCCACTAGACACAGCTGGCCAAGACCCAGTAACAGTTCTGCTGTCTAAGACTCTACAATTTCAGGAGCCCTCTTAGGTTGCTCTTCTCCAGATGAGCACAGCGTAGAGGGCCAACTCC